TTTTAAATCATAGTCTAAACCAGACAATCAGTAATCAAAAGCAGCTGTACAATATTTCACATTGGGGACACTATGTGGGATGCATAGTTAGAAAACAATTTCCTCAGGCAGTTTCGGGCCTTGATGCTATTCTTCATTTGCCTCTGATCAACTCCATGTTTAAAGAACATGACAAAATAATTGTGTTCCAACTATGTTAAATTTTCCTGTGGATAGTGCATAGAATGGTGGATGGAATCGTATTGTAAAAATACTTTTGAGGAATTACACGAGAAACTAGAACAGGAGTACATTGTGAATTAGGAAGAAAATAGCTACTTGGGCACCAACCATCCTCTTTGGTGCAGAACAAAATAGAAGGCAGTAGGGTGGTGTTTGGTATCAAATTGTTGATAGAAATATTGTTGCATTTCTAGGACAGCAAAAATAGAAGACAGGTGTTCGTTTGGTACCATGTGTTATGTGACTAATAATGGGCTGCATTTAATTTGGTGGATCACACATTGAGCTACACCAATTCCCAGTTCCTCCTACAGTAGGAGAGGCTCTGAAGAACTGTATCAATCTCAGATATATTCATTCTTCAGAGCAAGCAAATTCAGTGTCAGCAAAGGTATTCTGAAATAATGGCACCAGAGAAGTAATTGTATGACACTGGCTTCCATGGACATTCCTGCTAGCTTCCACTCTTCTCCCTAGTGCCCCATGCAACATATCTCTCAAACTCCCAGCATTGTTCCTTGCTGATAATTAAGCAGGTGATACAAAGGGGGACACCTGCTATTTATGGTAGAGAAAACCATTGAAAGTACCTAGTCAGGAGACGCATCCTCTCCAGAGCTCAGATGACACGATTAAACCTTAATCACAAATAGCTGGATCAGCCACCAGCCCCACCCCACTCCACTCCAGGGTAGGAAAGTGGGCTTAAGCCATCCAATGCCATTCACATGCATGGTCCTTTTGTTGTTTTTGAGAATCATGAAATGCTACCCTTTGAGGAAAAAGTACAGGAAAATTCATGGGCATATATAAATCATAAACTTTATGTTCAGAGATTAATGAATTATGTGTTAATTTATTTACTTTATTAATCAAATTTATATTATCTCACAAAAACGAAAGTTTCTTGTATGAGTCTTGTTTTTTTATTCTTCCAGAGTGGCTGAAAGGGATAACTTAAAAAGAATTAAAATCAGAACATGGGGCCTGGACAATTTTCTCTACCCCTCCAAAACAAACAAAAAAAAAACAAAAAAACCTCTGAGTATGTTTAAACGTCATTCAGAAAAGTTGCTAGGAGTATATTCTTCAGTAACTAGATCCTTCATAACAGAATAATTAAACAAGAAAAATGTCTCTTAAGTGTCCTCCATTACTGATAAATGCTAATAAAGTGATTTTTCACCAATTTATTTCAAACAGTCTCAGTGAATTTCATGCATTTTCCTTCCACATAAAGGATATAGAGTTGCCTTATGAGTCACTATGCAGTATACAGTGATTGATTGTTGTATTGATGTATATTTTAGTCAGTACATTGCGTATAGTTTGAAAGAGCTTGAAACAAAAAAGCCACTCCTTTTGGATTAAGATAGAGCAACACAAACAATTACACAGTAAATAACAATAGCATTCAGCAGTTGAGGCCGTACAGCAATGTGCAAGAATGGAAGAGGGTTCAGGCAAAGATGTATTGGCTGAAAATAGAGATACTGCAAACTTTATATGGTTGGCTATCAAACTGTTTTTCCCAAGCTCAGTTGCAAATATTCCCCATCCTTCTGGGTCAGTAGTTAGTTTTCTCGTAAACTGATGATGGCTGATATACCTACTTTTTGGGATTTTCTTCTTTCTTCTTCCAAGAGGGAAAAAAAGGTGGTGGGGGGCGGTCTTTCCAATTGCGAGGCTGCTGAGTTGACTGTAACCTTCGCTTTTATTTGCTGGATTTATGTGAAAAGTTTGGTGGTTAAGTAGGATCATGCTTTCTGGTTGCATATCCAAGCCTCATCTTTTCCTCGGACCTGTTTTCTCCCAAATGAAGGAGAGGCATTTTCCTTTTGGCTCCGTGTTATCCTCTTATCCCTACTGTTTTGGAATAGAGCGTAACCAGCTGGAGAACTGTAAGAAGCCTGATAATGCAGCTATTTTCTGCTGTCCCATCTTAATCTTGTTACACAAATGGTTGTGAAGAGATTCATGAATTTTAATTTTTCCCTCTGCATTAGTGCTTCATGTCACTCATCCACAGCTGCCTTCTATGGCGAGTTATTCACCCCTCCTCTTAGAAGAGGGGGAAAAATTAGTTACAATCTTGACAGTAGTGCAAGTAACAACAATATAAAAAAAAAATCCACAGATTTAGGCAACCACCCATGAAGCTGATTAACAGGCAGTGATCAGGAGGAACAGCTTTGCCTCTTAAACTTTTCACCTCTCATTGTTAGCTGTGAAATTTTATTTCCGTTTCAAAAAACAAGCCTGTAATCAAAACTGGCCCTATACTTTCTGCTTGTGCTTTTGTTAAAAACTATACACACACCCTTTCCCCGAGTTGGGTTTCGCAGTGCATCATTCTCACACTAACTTCTGTAATATTTTCTTAATAATTAATACATAAAAAAAATAAGGAGATGCAGGTTATGCTCCTTTGCCAAATATACATTGTAAACTGGGTATGAAAGATCCAATATTTCCCTTCTCCTGAAATAATTAACAAAAATATAGGGCTGAGGGTAGCATAGATTCATGTTATAACAGGGACAAAGCAACGTCGGGATGGTTTTCTAAACAAAAGCAAAGGCTGAGGGTGAGGCTGTGGTAGGAGAGCAGAATGTGATGTCAAAAGAATAGTTATATTGCCTTTCTCCTTATCTATTTGAAATACCACATTACGAGTGGCTAGTGCTTATAATGTGTCTGGTGTGCGGTTAATAATTGTGGCTACTGTAAAGGGTAAACAGTATGAATTCCGCTCCCGTTGCTGCTGTTCACCCTGTGGGTCTGAGTGTGTTACATCCAATTAGGAGGGAAAGCATAATGCTACCAAGAGTGGCCATATAATTTATTTCAGTTCTCCTAGGCCTCTCTTGCTCTCCTCCCTCTTCTTGCCTCCAAAATTGAAAAATTGTTTTATTCACAATTTGCTTTTAGTTGCTCGTGCAATTCAAAGGGTGGGCTTATGAGGTTTTTTTTTCCCCGTTTCATAAAATTACAATAATTAATTGGGCTCAGAAGTGCAACCATGATGTGCGCAATAACACTCTACATAATATTCTGGACTGAAGCATATGCACTGTTTACAAATGCTTCTGTGTATGCATATATGAGTTCAATAATGTTATGTTTCCAATGCACTTACGATTGGATAACAGGTTGCAGTAATACATGCCTTTGTGGCATTTATTTGTTTAACATCCCCCTGCTAATCTGGAATAGTGAAGCCGGGTCTGGGTTGTGTTTAAACTCTGCAATGGAGCCTTTGGGCTGGCCACCAGAGGTCACTAGAGAATTCAGGTTAAAAGAGACGGGGAGGGGGGCAGACCAGATCTGCTGCATTCCTAAAGAAGAACAATTTTTTTTCCTTATGGGCTTACAAGATATTATTTCTGGATGTAGGTTAGTGAAGCTGCTGACCCAAGACACATCAGGGTAGAGAAGATTATGAGCAATAGGAATGGCCATTTGAAGTTTACTCCTCAAGGAAATGAAGTTTCCTTTCTAAAAAACAGACCTTAAGATGCAACTGGGGAAAACTTTGAACTGGATATTATTTTGTACGCTTTTTTTAAAAAAAAAATTTCTTCATTATTATTATTATCATCAACAACACTTATAACAATGGAGTATTTTTGGTCCTTCAAGAGATCATTTGGAATGTGTCCCATGAAAATTCATGCCACACACCCACACACCAAAAAAAAAATCAGTTAATTTCTGGTATACCAACATTTTGGTGTTTGCAATGCCATTTTAATCATCAGCCACTAAGAATAACATTACCTGAACAATAAGTTGGATATTTAAATAATATTTAAATTAATGAACCATTTTATTCACATAGAACTCCTTGTGCTAATATTAGAGAACCAAATTTGTCATTGTTCACATGACTGAGAATTTGGAGAGATTAATAATTGTTGTTGGGAAAATTGCACTACTCATAAATGGAAAATTATTCCTCAGAATTAAACAATAGGACATTGGTAAATTCCTGTTTATATAATGGCTGAAAAGAAATGCCAGAAGCTATTTCGAATATATAATATTCTAGTATACATATGTACACTAGAGTATTACATATTAAATATTATATATTAAAGAAAAAAGGAGCACTACTTCATATTCTTTGCCTCCTATCTTTCAGTTTAGTGTTGCCTTCCTCCCTCTGTAAACACACACAAGGAAATTGTTTCAGTGAAGTCATTTTAAATGTTAAGATGACTTGATTTTCATCTGGATAGCTTCTTGAATTCAGTAGTTTGTGTCTATAGAAAATATATGCCAAATTCAACTACTTGGTAATTAAGTTTTCACTGGAGAGCTGCCTAAATGAATACCGTACTTGTTTTAAGAATACATGTTACATTGCGCTGAGTTATAGAGTTCACATAATCTTTGTTCTTGTTGCTAAGAATACACTGAACTATTCTGTGTTCAAAGAGAGACAAGTTTGAATTACTATGCAAAACTACTTAAGTTTGTTAGCTGTTGATGATCTCAGTGTTTTATCAATCATAAATATAAAGCTTTATTCTTTAGGAGACAGTTTAGCTTTCATTTATCTGTATATTTCAGACGAACCACATTTACCCCACTGCATGATATTTTCTCACTAGCAATTTTAATTACAGTTATAAAAAATGAAAATGAAAATTATGTCTAATGTTTATTTTCTCATTTGATACCCACTCATCCAACAACAAAAACAAACGTACCAACAAAGATTATGTTTTTATGATTAAAACAAATTGACTGTTGCTTTGTTTCTTTATTTGCAGCTGAAAAAAGAAGAAAAAGATATTTATGATCCAAATCTCCACTACCCATTTTTTCTTGTTTTAACCAAAGAAGGATAGAATATGGGAAGACAATATTTTTATTACAAAATAGAATGTATTTATGTAATGATTTCATGGGAAAGGTAAACTCTGAGCAATGTAGAGTTGATCACTCTAAAACTATGGGTCCATTGCATTAAAAAGAGAGCTGAAAGTTTCAAGAGCTCTATTTCCCTTCCTTTGTGACTGTCATTTCGCACATGATTTCTTCATTGTGACAAAAATGGGGTTTTTTTTTCTGTTGTATCTGGAAAAATGTGTTTGACCAACTGCAAAATGCTAAAGGATGTATTGTTCAAGTAAGTGAAAAAAACAGATACTGGTATCTATCCAACATTTGAGACCATATCATATGGTATTCTAGGAAGATTTCATCTTATTTTTACCATTACCCCTTAGGCTATTTTTTTAAATTTACTTTTTGGGTTTTCTTTTCAGAGTGAAATTTTTCAAACTCAGTTTATGATTTTTTTTTACAACAGGATTTGGGATTTTGGAGTTTTATTGTTGAGTTTTTATTTGGGGGGGTGTTTGTCCTCTCAGTAGATGTCTCAGAAATTATTGCTTCAAACTAAAGCTTCATAAACTGACCATTTGTCCTCTGGACACAATGGGTTGGCCAGCCCTCTGCTCCTCCTCTCCAATTATGTGTGATTAGTCTCAGTGTGTTGTGTCAAGAAGGGGGAGTGTGCTGAGTACTTATTATCTGTTTAGGTACAAGAAGAGTGCTCTGACTATGAATGAAAAGTGAGTCTTTATCAGTCCTGAAATCTAACTGCAACTGTTTCCTATACTTGCTATTAAAAAATAGGTCCTTGTTGGAGAAATGTTGGGTGCTGTAGCAATTGTGGTCTTTCCTTTGCTCCCTCACTCCTCCAAAATATCACCTAACATTGGCCATAGCCCACATTATTTCATTAACATTTTTGTCCCAGAAGCAATACATAACTTTCAAAGCCTAAGACAAAAACTATTTGGATTTGTTTTCTTGCTGGTTTAAAAAACACTTTTTTGGCATTCTAAGAAGTTTATCATCTCATTTTTAAAAAACCGTTTTTAGAAGTATCTGGGGAAAAAAAATCAAATGGTATTATACTTCATGCTGTGCTTGATTGCAAGGTATATGAAAATAAAATAATTACCCCTGAATTGTTGCTTCTCTTCTCTGGTTTAATAAGTTGCACACAAACTCCCATGCCCTTCCATCTTTCCCTCAAATGCATTTCTTTACCACCAGTTTACATGTCCTTGTATTCCACACTTTTTTAATGCTCCATTAGAGCACCTATATGGATCACAGAAGGCATAGGTCAAATTGCAGTTAGATCATACATTTCTTTCTCACAAAAACCTGAATTGCAATGCCAAGTGATGGGCTAACATCACAATAACAGCAATTTATTCCTCTTTTGATAAAACAGCAGTCTATTCTCAGTGTTGGATAAAGACCAGGGCAATGCAAACCAGCCATTTATCCTAGTATTTCAGTAGTAGATCTCCTTTTATGGATTGTATGGATTTCACATTGAGACGCTTACTGCATGGAATTTCTGCTCAGAAATGGCAAGAATTTAGAGATTAATGGGTTTATCTTCATGGTGTGTCTCATAGGTACGCATGCTATATATATGTAGTAAAAAATTAGTATAGAAAAGGCACAAACAGCACCCATATGTATGAACCTTCACATATCATTACAAAAGTATTCAAGAACATGACAAATAGATATATTTGCTAACTTTTATATAACGACCCTGGAAATTATTGTTTCACTCTTTTTCCCTCTCTGAGTAGATAACAAGTATATCAAAATGAACAACTAATTATTATTGTTTGTTTCTTTCCCCCATCTGTCATGTCAGTACAAGCTAGTGTCTCAAATGCAGGCTATTATCCCGTAAGGGTTTAATTGAAGGGGTCTTAAGAACACGATCCTGCAAACATTTATGCATTGAGGCTGAATGGTGAAACTAAATTACTCATGCATATAATTGATGAAAGGACCAGAGGCCCTAGATTGTAGCATTGGCTGCTAAATATCATTGTATAAAATTCTCTGGGTTTTCCCCCCTTATTTTCTGGAAAAAAATAAAGTTGCTTTGTGGTGGGATAGTACTTCTTAAATTATCATCATCTCTATATTGCTTTAATGAAGCACGCATCCAGTTCTTTGAATGTTGCTTCTGCTTCTCCAAATATTGTTATAAAATTAAAGGCCTGTTTCACATTTTAAAAAAATTAAAGATTATTAACAGTGATTGTAAACATAAATTGACTTGAACAAAATTTAAGAAACCTTCAGTTAAACATATTCAATGTGATGGGTATGTATGCTGGGTTTTGTATGAATGGAAGTTAAACTTAATAAGTCCCTTAAAGCAGTGGTGAGATTCAAATATGTGAACAGCCGGTTCTCTCTGTGGATGCTGCTTCTGGAAGTCCATTCTGGGCCTGGGCAACAAAAAATTAGCTACCGGTTCTGCCGAAGTGGTGCGAACTGGCTGAATCCCCACCACTGCCTTAAAGTTACAAACACTGCAGATATCAGTCATCAACAATCAGTGGAAACAATACATTGGTGAAACTTTTCTTATGGGCTTGTAAGCTGCTCCTGAAGGGGCTTTTTTCTACTGAACGATAGTTTCTGAGCCTCCTCTTGATAGAAGCTGCAGGAGGCAAATTCTGATTTCAGTAACAACATAATGGGCATATGATAGACATATTTAAGTTGTGTTTTTTTTTAAAAAAACAATTTTCTAAAACATGGTTTCTAAAAGTTTGCAAAGTGATCTTTCCAAGATTAAAGATGAGGAGAACGCGATTTTTTTCAAAGAAGGAGAGAGATTAGTAAAAGAGGCATTAAAGATTATGTTGGGCAGTGTTATAAATATTAGATGCAGTAATAAGGTTTATTTTGTTTTCTATTGCCACGCACATACTGTGATAAAATAAGAATGATTGTTTTCCTTTAATTTCAGAATATTTGACTTGTACCCTGCACATTTAGTATTCCTTTGATTTTTTTTTCCTTGCAGGGTTACATAAATTAAATGGGTATTCTGCCCCAATTGGTGCACTAAGGACAATATGTCACATCTTCAGCCAAAGAATCCGCATAATCTAAAGCAATACTTGTGCAGAGACTAATGGAGGGCAAGGTCAAGTTCCAGTGAAATCAATTCAGACCAAGGCAGGAGAGAAGGAAGCAGACAAAAGGCAAAGGCAAGATGAGGTTGGTTGGAGAAAAAGAAGAGCCAGTAGAGCAAGATAGGATCAAAAGCACAAAGATGGCAGAAAGTCTCTGGTTATTCATCCCTAAGGACTGAATGCAACATGCTCTTACAAGTGTGAGTGCTTGTAACATTCTCACCCTTGTCAATCAAGAGTTTAGGAAAGAAATATGAACATTCTCCAGCAGTGTTGTTCCATTCCTCAGCTGAGGAAAATATTTCCCATTCCAAAAAAGAAATCACATATGCAAATGAGCCATGCCTTACGCTCTTGTACAAATGCCATTTTCACCAAAAACAACAACAGCAAAAACCCCTAGATGTATCTGTGTGTAACTCCATTATCTCCCAACCTCTGGAGTTGATCCAGAAATATTTATTTTTACCCAGCTTTATTATTTTTATAAATGATACAAAGGTAGTGAACATACAGTATCGAATAGTTCCGCCTCCTATTTTCCACACAACAACCCTATGAGGTGAGTTGATCTGTGTGAATGTGATTCATCCAAGGTCACCTAGCCAGCTTTCCTACCTTAGGCAGGATTAGAACTCACAGACCTCCTAGTGTCTGGATTGGTGCCTTAAGCACTAGGCCCAACTGGCTCTGACGGATCCTATGGTTGGTTTCCCATTGCTTCTACAAAGTCACTGAGCAAGAATGAAGAATGCTTCACTGCAAGAATGCACTACCCCCATCGTGCTCACAACAAAGGTCATCCAAAAGTAAACAAATGCCATTTCAATTCCATGCCCAGATGAAATTGTATTTAAAATTGTATTTAAATACAATTTTTAAATTGTATTTTAAAAAATAGGCTTGCTAAAAGCATACAGCTATTTGGATATGCAGAGTCATTGCATAAAGCATTATCTTTGATGGACTGGGGGGGGAAGGGATATGGGGAAAATCCAGGTTATTACAGAAACGTGAATTACCGGAGAGCCATAAATTAGTGTTTACAGAAAAGCATATTCTGTTCTATTCCAAAATCCATACAATACGCAGATAGTATTTTCCTTAGTGCAACAGAAGGTGCACAAATTTGTGGGTAAGATGTAATAAAAACCAAGAATATCTCCCATATAGATTTAATGACTTTAATATCAATGTTTTTTTTTACTTTTGGCCCCTCTTATTTTCTCTGCCATATGCAACATTTTCACTCCTCAAAAGTAATTGACAAATTGTTTTTATTTATTTCATTCATTTCATTTCTATAGTTGCCTATCTCAGTCAAGTGACTGGGCAGATTGTTGCTCTGCCATTATATTCCAAATCATTTTGTCCAATGGTAGAGCCAGTCTTGTGGAAAACAAGGTATTGCACAATCACACAAAGTAAACCCAAGGATATTTTTTCCTTGCACGCACGTCCAGATGCATAAGATCTGCTACGCAACACAATCCCACTGTGACATTTGTGAACTCTTTGCACACACAGTTTTTTGGGAAACAATTCAGCGTGTGTTATTTCTGCCAAAAATCCAAATACCTCATTAGTCTGTTGAAGCAACAATGACAAAGATATCTTTGGCACCTTAATACCTATATGATTTATTGGAGCTGTGCTTTCATAAGCTGCAGCCCATATTAACAAAAGCATGAAGTAACCTGGAAATTGTGCCGATAAGAGTTTGCTGAGGGAGACACAGCTTATCTACAAAAGCTCATGCCTCATAAGGAACCAACAAGTTGGTATCAAGATTGGTTTATATTATTTTAATGTGTATCCCATCTCTCTGTCCAGATAGAAGGCAGGATTGTTGATGGTCATCAAGTCCACTGCTCTACTCAGTACTGTTATTTTGCAAATACTTTCAACAT